GGGGGATATTTTCACCCTGATTGGGAAGGTTCGGGGAAAAGCCCCAAGCTAACAATAATACCGAGAGAAGCCAGATGCTCGGATTAACCGAGGTTTTCAAGATAGGGGACTACCACGAGTTACCAAGTAGAACTCAAAGAGAACGACCACAGGTCGCAACGTAGAACCCAAGAACAACCACGTGTTGCCACGTGAAACGAACACTGGGTATAGAATCAGACCCCAGTCTGGTCAAGTTAGTATGTGTTGACCGTCAGAGCGAGAGGACGTGAGAGTGTTCGTGAGAATGACAACGTGAATTTGAGTGTGGTGAAAGGAAGCCCAGACGACAACAGCCATTAAAGCCAAGTCCTGCAAAGCCAAGTGGTGCGAAACTTGAGGGAATGACCAGGTCCGTCTATGCGGTGATGTGGAAGTGAGGGCGCGGAACTCTGGTCGATGGATGTGTAAGAAGTCAGCGTGTTGGCATCTGAACCATGTGGTGCCTGTAAGCTGTGAATAAGGACACGGACGGGACATTCTATGTAAGTGATGAGATGTCAATAAACTGTATCGTACTTCAGAGTCGGATTCGGCTTGTCCCAGTTATGTCATCTTAAGAATGTGTGCTAAGATCATTCACTAGACACATCATCTCCTAGACAACCAGCCTAGGGTCATCAACTACTTACTGCAAGTAGAAGACGACATATTGCATCTGGCTCCTTAAATAGCTTTATATAGCCATGGTTTGGTTTGGTTTATACAACGGATTAACATCATGGCACAAAGGTAGTAACCCATAACTGCTGCGTTCTACATATAACTCAAGCCTGAGTCCTAAGAACCTCGGCGCAGTGCACGAAATCCGTAGCACCTGCGAGGATTATGAAATTCTTTCAGTAGATTTTCAACTCCAAATTTTGCCCGTGCAGCGCCGTTAGGCTACTCTTTTCGATTTCAAACTGTTAAAGGATTGTTTACCTGCACAACCATACACACAGAGCTGATTTGACTGTCTTCTGCCTGCTATCGGCTAATAGCAATATTCCTTAAATTTATCGATAGAGGCCCAATTTTTGACTGCTTGAAAATTAACTGATCGTTTTGGTGTAGCGTTCCTTTCATGGGGTTTTAATTGCGTAGGCAGTGAACATTGTTCACCGTAAATTGCGTTGCTTTCTCATGCGCGCTTTGTGAGCTATGCTCACAATTATGGTCTTAAACACAATTGACCACTGTATTGTAACGATTACAAAAAGCCACGCAATTCACGCCCACAACATTTGAGTCTGCTTTTCACATACCCGAGTACGATATTTTTTTTACAAACTAAAAAAAAAAAAAAAAAAAAACGCGTTAGATAGCCATGCGTTTTTTATTATTTTTACAGTATATATATATATATATATATATATATATATATATATATATATGTGTGTGTGTGTGTGTGTGTGTGTGTGTGTGTGTGTGTGATTCATAAAGGGGAAACATGATTATATAAAACATATAGAAAAAAAGATTCGACTTTTTAGATTAGAGTTCTGTTGGTTATACGAACAATACAGACATATACATACAATAAGAAGAAGCCCTAAATAGGAACATGTACAGCAGAAGTCTTCCAATCATCAGTAGTAATTCAGTAGTGATTCCTCGTCAACAAATGTTTCGCCCCACGAGCTCCTAGACATTTTCAGAGGGTGAGCCCACATGAGTTCATGAAGCTCAGGGTTGATCTGCTCCTGCTGCACCTATTACCGGACGTTCTTGGACAGGGACAAGACGAAATTGGTGACTATGCAACAGGTACTGTTAGATTCGAAGCCTATCTGCATAGTCGCTGCGGTAGCATATTAGAGCAGTCAGCATACCTGGACGGCCAAGTGGCGAGCTTACGGTTGGTTTATCGGACACAAGTTAGACTTTGTTGGCAAATGGCAGAGGTACACCGGCAGACAATTCGAACACGAAAGACTTTTTAACGGATAAGACTTTCTTTTCCACTAGATACCAGGGCCAGCTCACCGAGGCCCGTCCCCCACGACGTTCCTTTGTATCCAAAGCCAGCTCGAGGCCCTCTCAGCAGCTTCGCCTAGTTGTTTTAGTAGTCGTTTGCGCTCGTTCCTCGCAAGCCCAGCAAAAATTAGGAAATAGTTTTAAGGCAGACAGTCTTTTTTTTAGAGACGTTATCCTCTGTTGGATGTTGTTTAATTAAATATAGCGCTTACTTCCTGAGCTCATCTTTTCGCAACTAAGAAACCCCCCCCCCCCTCTCTCTCTCTCTCTCTCTCTCTCTCTCTCTCTCTCTCTTGTACCTCAGTAGGATATTCACACAAGCTATTAACACCTGGTGACACAAGGTGCCACTATGCGGATGAGGATCACCCGTGGAGAAGTCCCAGAAACCCCTTTCAGCTGTTATGGCCAAATTTATGGCCCGGTTATATTCAGGGCCCACGGCAAAGCCAGGGTGAAGCTTCAAATAAAAAAAAATTGCATCTCACAAGGGGAGGACTTA